CACCTGGAGCAGCTTTTCTCGCCCCGGAGGTCGAGGTGGCGGGACCGCTGCGCTCTGGGCGGTCCTGCTGCCTGCAAGCTCCAGGGCGAGAAAGCCCCGTTCGTAAGTGCGGATCCAACATAAGTCGGATCCGCGTAACTCGGGGACTGCCTGTAACTCTTACTGTACAGGAAAAACAGGCTCTGAGGCTGTTTCTGCAGTACAGTAGTTGTTTGCTTAACACGTAAAAGGTCCTTGTTTCAAAAACGGTGTCTTCTCTTATTGCAACTCCCCTTGGTGTCAGGATAAGCACAGCTCCTGCTGCCTGCCCTGTGCCTGGGATAAGCTCAACACCCATCAGGCTCTGAGGCTGTTTCTGCAGTACAGTAGTTGTTTGCTTAACACGTAAAAGGTCCTTGTTTCAAAAACGGTGTCTTCTCTTATTGCAACTCCCCTTGGTGTCAGGATAAGCACAGCTCCTGCTGCCTGCCCTGTGCCTGGGATAAGCTCAACACCCATCTGACAGAAGGTGGTGACATCAGCTGAGAATGCACCTTGGTGTCAGCCTGGGGAAGGGAGATGAGTCAGGCCAGGCACCTGTGGGAGGCTTGTGGCTGGGGCCGGCTCATCCTGCTGCCTCCGTTGTGAGACTTGCCCAAGGAAGAAGCAAGGCAGAAATGGGGCAAGGAGGAAAGTCAAGCTGAGGAGGCAAGGCAGAAACTCAGCACCTCAATGTCACTAAGCAGGGTGAGCCAGGGATGGCTCCTTGGAGCCCAGGAGAAGAGGGGGGTTCTGGGTGAAAGGAAAACAAGCCAAGCTACGTCCAAGTGGGAATGAGACAGGGCTCCATTGTGACCCAGCTAAGCGAGTGGTGGTGTGGTCAACAGACTCCCCAGCTGTAGGACCCAGGGTGAATAGGGCAGCACTCAGGGCTCTGACTCCTGCAAGATGAGTTCAAATCTCAGTGGGAGCTGCTGGGGCTGGGCTGGTTGCTGCAAAGGCCTCATGTGTCACATGCTTTGGCTTGTCCTCAGGCTCACCAGAGAATTTTTTGTCTCCTGCCTTGTCTGACACCCAATGGAGCTCGGTGTCTTGTCTGGCTGCCTCGCAAGATCTGCAGCAACTCAACCCCCAGGCCTTCTTCCAAACCATTCTGGGGTATGTGGAGGAGCAGCTGCAGCTCCTGGACACCAGCGTGCCCCACCGCATCTGGCATCTGGACACCAGAACCGACTGGTGGGACCACATCATCCTGGAGTGCTGGGGAGACCAACAATGGACCCAGAACTTTAGGATGAAGGACTTCTTCCTGGAGCTCTGTGAGTGACTCACCCTGCTCTGTAGTGACAGCACATGCACATGAGGCCCACCATTTCCCTCCAGAAGCGTGTGGCCATCACCCTATGGAAGCTCTCCATGCCGGATAGCTACCGATCTGTGGCGAACCAGTTTGGCGTGGGGAGATCCACCATCGTAGCAGTGCTCATGCAGGTATGGCAATCTCCGGCCACTGTGCCAGGAAGGGGAGGGGAGTGCAAGGAGGGAATGGGCTGCCCTAGGGAAAGGGAGGGGAGGTGGTGAAAGTCCCCTCACCAGGGGGATTTGTTCTGTCTCCCCTGCACTAGGGACTGCCCGCGGTGGCCAGGATTGCAGGGGGGTTTGCTCCTGGGTGGTGGGGGCATGGGGCAGTGGCGGGGAAGGAGCAGCCAGCCACCCTGGCACTTCAGTGACTCT